TGCATAAATGTTGATTTATTTTTGCAAATAACAGCATATTTTTAAATAGTCGACCACAAAATAAATCCATGTGCTACAAATTATGTGTTCTTCTACACATAATTCCTTTCTACTGAAGGTAAAGTGATAATGAGCAAGAAAGAAATATTTTGAAGAAAATCTTTAAATCCATTCATATTGACAAGATTTTGGTATCATTCACAAGTTTTATATATAATATAATTTTTTTTTTTCATTTATCAATTCTTATATTGCATTTCTTTTTTTCTAACTAAATGAATTTTAGCCCGAAAGTTGGTAAAATCATTTTATTCTTTACGCTTTCATAACCTAGATTTTGCAGGAAGGAATGAGAAAAATATCCAATTCATGAAAAGATGAAATTATTGTGTTTATAGTCACTGTAAATGAGTAAAATCGAACCAATAGTATTGAATAAGAAATTTTTGTAAACCTAGGTCAAGCTAACGTATTGGATTTATTTGGGGCTGACTTATGTATTTCAAAAGGGGGCACATTAAATTCTTTGGATGTTTTTTTGTTTTCTTACAGTAAATCTCAGACTCTTAAACTGAACAGAACTACCCCTTATCATCATAATTATTTTTGTCATTTTTTTTTCCCATTATCTTAAGCCAATGATTCCCAACTTAAGAATTCTTGAACTCTCAAAGAATTTGAAGTGGAAGAATTCAAGGTTGAAGAATTCCAAGGCAGTGCCAAAAATGTTTTTAGCAAATTTAAAAAGAATAATGTACAATTTGATTTTCTTTTTACAATAAAGCAAAAAGAGAAAAATGAAATCCAGAAATACAATGTGGAAATCTGTCATATCAAATAACATACAGCAGACACTTTTTTTTATAAAATTACATAAGTACATATATATATATATTTACAAAGCTTAGCCTTGTCTGGTACAAGGTTATAATAGAACACCCAGTGAAAATCAAACTCACTAGAATTGGCTTGTTTTAAATATCTTACCAACCACTATCCTCTTGCAGGCACTCATGTGAATCCAACTATGTTTGGTGGGAGGATATGGGGAGTTTCGTAAAGTTAGAGGCACTGGGAACTCTCCTAAAGATATATGAGAAATTTGTTTTTTTTTTATCGTAAATAAGAAATTAGATAAACCAAAATTAGACAAATTGCTAACAGCCAAAATAGTACTTAAATAAACAAACCAAAAACTACCTTTCAGATTTGTGAGTGGTAAATTGTTTTTTGATATATTTCAAAAGTATTACCTCTGGTACATTCTCTTTTCAAGATGTAGGTGATCACAATTCTCATCTTTTATTGCTCTAATTTTTTACTTCTTTATGACCCCCCCACTTCTTATATGTTCCACTGTCAAACTTGCCAAGTAGATTATTCAGTGTTTAATCTTTCTTTGAATGTGCCTTATAAATTCTCCAAGCCCTCTTTCCTCACTGTGTCCCCAAAATTTCAGTTGTCTTAGCCGTTTCATTGTTGTTCCTCCTGGCTTCTTATAACTTTGTTTCTAACATATTCAATATTTGTTGGTAAAAATATGTTCCTGTTGTTTCAATTCTTTTTTTTATCTGTCCTCCATTCACTGTTATGGAGGAGAGGAGATGTTACATAATAATCTAGCAATCTTTTTTTTCTTTGTTCTAAGGACATTTTTCAATCTCTTGATATCTGGTTCAGTTTCTGAAAATAATCTTTCAATAAAGTATTTTTTTTTCTCTGTAAATATAAATGGTAACAAATTCCTCTCAGTTTGTCATCTTTGAGATTCAGGTAGGCATCAATTGATACTAGTCACATTCATGTCAATGTTAACCAATTCTAGTAAGATCATCAGGGAAAACAGATTACATTGACCAGATATAAATACAAAGTTGGTCAGCCATCTAAACCAAATGAGTAGTTTGAATCCATTTCACCATTAACTTATAGTATGCAGACACTGGCTACTCACAGCAATTCTGTAATGGTCAACTGATACTTACCAAACTAGTCTGATCAATGAAGTCTTCTTCTGATAGGAAGAATAATATTTAAATATAATTTTAAAACACTTCAGCAATTTGTTGTGGCTCCTTACTGGACATTTATTAAGTCAAGCCGTTCTTTTGGGTTGGTTATTGTAATAAGGTCGTCTATTTGGTCTTGGGAAGGTAACCTTTAGTCAATGAATGAGAATAAAGAGGGAGTGATAGAACTCTTCATCAAGTTGGTAATGTTATTCTTGGAGAAAAATTTCAAACCAATTATCATAATTAAGGCAATTAGTTTCTGAAAAAACACATTTTAGCTATAACAGGATTACTTTATTGAAGAAATCTCACTTGTAGGAATCCAATTTTGGATCAGTAATAAAAATATTTTAATTTTTTGCTTACTGCACAAACTCTCCATTCTGATAAGAGCACCTCAGCATAGAGTAATGGTTAATGAGCTAGTCTAGTTGATCATAAACTACTGAATAGGGAGATCAATCTTCACTGGATACTCAATATTACTAAATATCCTAATAGACGAGGGGAGAATTTCAGGGGTCAGGTAGGAAAAATCTTTTACTTTTGCACAAGTTTCTCATTGATTGTATTCTTCATCAGAATAAAACTGATTTAAATACCCTGACCGTGTATTAAATTTTTTGTTTATTGAATTACAATATCCTGGTATTTTATTGGATTTTTTTATTTTATTGAAGTATGTTTCAATTTATTTAATAATTAGTTATGAATTAAAGCCAATTACTGTACATGTATTCTAACTTAAAAATTCATCAACATTTTCTGTTGCTATTAAATTTGTAAAACTCTATACAAATAATCCATGTATATGTATTAATATTGAAAAAGAATGAAGATTTTCAATAATATATACACATTATTTGGAATGCAACTTTTGAGTCAAACAAGCTTGGAAAGGCGGGGGGGGGATGACTTTGGGCAAAAAAAGTTGAGAACAACTATGTTATACATTTTGTAGGATTAAGATTTTGATTATAATTAATACATTTATTGAATGATAAATCCTGTTGAAATATTTGTGATCAATGTGTCAACACTACAACCTTTTTATTTGCTTAATCAAAATCACTGATTAGCCAAGCTTTACTGTGATTTCATTTCAAGGTCATTTCAACCTCTTTTTAGTTCATTCAGACAAATCACTCCTTCCAGAATCAATTTCAGTGCTTCATTAGATTACTCACTTATGTAGTGATTTGTCACTGGGTGCTCTGTATGTATATCCTTGTGCCAGACAAAACTTAGTAAATATCAAGTCAAACACACCTGCATATTAGAATCATTTTTCAATACAGAAATTCTTAAACACATTACCAAGGTGAGTTTGTTGTCACAAAAGATAAATATAATATGTTGAGCCAGTCAAAAAGAGGGGTAAAATGAATATCTGGTACAGGGTGTGTCCAAAAGAATTCCACATTCAGCTTTTCATAGGCTAACCTAAGTCAATTAAAAGAAAATGAACTTAGATAGAATTTAACCATCTTGGTCTGTCAGAGTTTGTCAATAATTGTAGTACCATTTGGTGACTGGAGCAATTTTGATTTGCTGGCTGGGATATATTCAGAGAGGTCTATCTGTCAAATTGAGACAATCTTAAGATGAGTCACCTGGATGAGTAGGGCATTCTTAGACAACAATATTAAGTGTACAACCTTTGGTCAGTCACAGTAAAACAAACATGGTCAGAAAATGAATATGGAAGTCCATTTTATGCAAAAGATTTTTGTTTTTCTGTAGAGACAAGTTGGACCAAAATTGTTTTATTTTTCATTTCATAACACTGGATGTGGGTGAGGAAAGAATTTGAAAAAGGTGTGCATTTGTAGAAAAAGGTTTTGAGAATGGCTAGTCATTAATTTATTGCAAAGCTTAGCATTTTTAAGAGCAGATTTGCAGGCACAGTTTTAAAGGCCACACACACACACACACATATATATATATATAGAAGTTATCTACCACTGCTCGAAGTATGATCGTAATACTAAAACATGAAAGCTTTTGGGTAGCGATATTAAATGTTTTTATTGTAATCTATTATAATAAAAATATAATAATAATAATTATATGTATGTATGTATCTTTTATAAGCTATGAATTGTTAAACATCACTATCAGATTTGCAAACTTTCATTAGCACAGGTATGTAGATGCATAGAATGTTTATATATATATATATATATATATATATATATATATATACACACAATATATAAATTTCATGATTACACATATGAAATTATGTGTGTGTGTGTGTATACACAAATATCACTTGTATGTAAACAGAAACTAAACCACTAGTATATAAAATGTTCTCAATTGATGATACCTCCTGATGAGTGGAGCAAATGATTACAAGATTTTCCTATTAAACTCTTGCATTGTGGTACTGAATCTAACATCAATCCACTAAGTGATAAATTTCATATTTGTATTATATATATATATGTTTACAATTTTTGAAATCATGCATAAACTATGCCAGAATGCTAGTCAAGAAATGATGGCTCTTGGCTAGGCTCATGGAAGAGAAAGTCTGATGGCCTGAAGCTTTCTATGACCCCAAAATAGACATCACTGAATAAGCATTCTAGTGTGCAATATATGCATATAAAACAAACAGAATATATGCAGAAAAGCTTTGTGTAAATTTATGCACTTGTATAAAAGATTCAATGTATATGAACGTAAAAATAAATGTTAATAACTACTAAGTCTTTATAGCAAAGGATTAAGTAACTGTAAACCCCTACTGCCAATGTGTGTGTGTGTGTGTGTGTGTGTGTGTGTGTGTGTGTATACATATTTATCTTGTCTTGTGGTCAGTGAAGTTTTACGACAGAAACAATGAAAAGCAAAGACGGTGAATTTTGGTTCAGGTTAAGGTGGACACAAAGTAAAAACAAGAGTAGTGAGTTGCTGAATAAGGTAGCTTTCCTCTTTATTACTATTTTTATTATTATAAGGAATGAAAGAGAAACAATTTTAGCAGAAAGGAAATGGTACAAGGGGTGGATGGATTGAGAGGGTGAGAGAAAAGAACAGGGCAGGGAAAGAGTAAATTTTAGAGGAGAAAGAAAACTGGACAGAAAGAATAAAGGAGATTAGAATAATAAGTATTTATGTACAACACTAGTACAACTCTTGAATCAGAAGTTTCCAACAAAGGTGAACAAGAGTTGTCTACTCTTAGAAGAGGCGGAGTTGCTTAATGAAAAGAATGAAAATTAGTTGCAATTTGAGCAAAGTGATTAAGGTTGGGTAAGTACTGATTGACATACAAGGAGTGACACATGCTTCTACTATTGAGATAGAGTAATTAAGTGAAGGACTTCAAGTAGATTGGAATTAAGTAAAAAGAGAAATGAGTGAACAAACTTGTTAATAACAGTAGTAAATCTGAATAGTTGGATTTTAATTTTAGTTCTTCTTATAACCAAGTGATATATTCATGCCTGTCAAATAGTTAAAAACACATGTCTAATTATTGTTGAGACTGAAAGATAATAGAGAAGTCTGCTTTTATATTTTATTTAATTGAAAATTGTTATTGTATTTAACGACATGCCCACTCAAAGCAGAATGTGACACAAGTTTAAAATGTACCCTCACACATATGTATACCATATGTGAACTGGGGACAAAAATTTCTTTACACAGATACATAATGTTATCAATTCAAAAAGACCAGGACCATTTTGAATTACTAATATCTTGATATAAAAACGCATGAATTTAACTGTTTGTCTTTTCCTTAAACTTATTATGTTTGCTATTATGTGTTAGTCACTAAATGATCACCCAGCACTAACATTTGAACAATCTTAAAAGGTAAGATATGGCTTGAGCCCTTGTAAGTGTAAATGCTAGTAACTTTTTAAAAAAGGCAGGGTTAGTGAGGCACAGGTTTAGGGATGTGATAGACTACTAGAATTTGGTGAGATACAATTAGTCAAAGCATGTATATGAACACTTATTTGTAAAAGTGCCTGATTTTCATCTTATGATGATGATGATAATGAGAGATTTTGAGAATATTAAAAATAGCAAATATTTATTGTTCAGATTTGTTTTAGAAATTCTAATGCCCAACAAGAGATGCCTGAGAATTTAATCTGTCACTAATTATCAGTTAAGATGAAAATCAACAACAAAAAGAAAAGAGTAGCATCAATATTTCTAGTTTAAGAATATTAGAAAAGCATTGATACTTTTATCCTACACATTTATTTGATTAGTATCTTCATCTTTATTGCTTTTAATGCAACATTTATGGTCAGTATAATTTTCTTCACATTGCTACTAAGTGCAGCAAAGATCTGAAAAAGAGCAAAGAACAAATTGGATGAAATGTCTGTAAAAACAATCAAGATGAGGATACTTGTCTTAAATAATGACAATCTCTGAAAATTTAATAGAATCTTGCAATTGGGAAATAAACAAAAGAAATACAGATGCCAAGAGTAAAAATGTAAAGTTTAAAATTAGGAGAAAAATAATTAAAATAGATCCTTATCAAAAATTTGTGTATGCATGTTCTTTTATCATGAGCAACTCAAAGAGTCTAATATTAATTCTAATACATAAATTTCCATCATAAAGGAGGTATACTATTGTGTACACAGCAAATTGGGGCTTGATTCGACTATGAAAAGACATAGTTTGAAAAAAAAATCTATTAAATTTCAATTAGGTCATTTATGATTCAGAGGTTGTTCTTATGTATATTTTGGTTGTTGGGTAGAAAAACATTGTTTCAAGTAAAATCCCTTCAAACCAAACTTGTAAAAAAATCTATGGAGTAGAATCAGACATAGTAAAAAATAACAGAATGTCTTTGACTTTTGCATAAAGACATTTTGTAGGATCTCTTGACAAGAAAATCTAAGTCATGAGTATAACAGACTTTGGAAGAATTTTCAGAATTCAGAAAAAGTTTTTGTCTTGCATTTCTTTCCTTCTGCATCACCAACAAACAATATCTACAAGAAATGATTGAGGCCATTTTGTGAGTGTCAGTAATTGCAGGCCTATAAAATATGTTAATAAAAAGAGAAGGCTAAGGGCAAAGCTCCCAAAAATGGATCTTGTGAAGAGACTGCGGTAGGAAGTCCAAATCAATACACAAACACATTACGAATTTCTCATACATGCACACATACACACATAATGTATAAATGTATCTCAATGCACACATGCAAAGTAGGGATTCCAAAAAATTTGTAGATAATTTGTGAACTCCTCAAACTTCTGTCTATGAAAATTTCAAACAAACAAAAAGAAAAAATGATGATGTTGATGATGATGATGAGGAGGATTTGTAATAATTCCATCATGTTAGATTTTTATAAAAACAAATCAATGAAGAGAAAAATACCTTAAGAATAGAACCCAAAAATAATTGAATGACAAGCAAAAAGGAAAAGTTTCTGCACATATTACAAACAAACATACATTTACTCTCTCTCAAATAAAGCAAATATATTCTATACTTCATTCGATATTTAGAGAAGTGATTCCTCCTCCAGCACTTACAGAGTTAATTAAAAAAACTATGACAATGATGCCAGTCTATCCTCGTAGAAAGAAAAAAAAGTTAAACATGAACTGCAGATCATATAAAAAAACATTGACGTAAATTATTTAAACTGTTCCCTGCTATATTATTTAAAATTTTTTAAATTTTAACTTTGATATTTTTTCGTGGTCTTTAAAAATTGTGTAGAAATAATTACAACAGTAAAATCCTTTTGCTTTGATTATTGAATCAAAAGGATTCTTTCAACAGTGACATTTCTATTCTTTTGAAGATTTAGTGAGAATGGCTGGAACCATCCCAGGAGTCATGGGAAATTTCTGGAATTGAATGAATAAACAATGTTTAATATTTAAAAAGCTTACTGGATTTTCAAATGAATTTAACAGAAAATGAAAACATTTAATAAAATCATTATGGTTTATCACATTTATTGAAGTACTCCTGCAAATAAGTTTGCACATATTTTATATATATATATATATATATATATATATATATATATATTGAACTCTCTCATTGCCTTCAGTGTATAGAGTGTCGAACAGTTCCACTCCTAAAACCAAGCATCCAGAATACCTTTCATGTGCACATAATTTATAATGGTGAAAAACCAAATACAGACAACTGGTGCACATAATGTGCTACAGGGTGTCCAAATGAACCTGCTCAGGTTTTGAATTCAGAGTTGTCCTTCTCCAAGATTGCTTGATAGCCAAAGATAAAGAGCTCAGTCTGTCCTACTATTTAACTCATATCTAAGGGGGGGGAAGAGATAAAGAGATGGATTCATACCTCTCCCAAGGGTATTTGCGTGTAAGTGTGAATGGAATTAGAACTTGGCTATCTAATTTTTCATTCTGAGTCACTATCCATTACATCAATGACACACACGTAAATGTTCTGAATATATATATATATATATTCAAACTTCTGTCATATAGCTAGCAGTCAGGATTTCTATTGGGGTGTATTTTTTAAATTGCTGGGTATAAGGGAATTATTGCAACATTTTTAATTATATTTCTTACTGAAAATTTAAATTTTTCCATCACTGATACACATCCACACAGGAAAATCGACACAATCTCAAAAACATAAGTGTGTGCGTGTGTGTGTGTGTATATATATATATATATATATATTTACACATTACAGAAGTCATACATATATACATTTTTATGTATACACATTAATGCATATATGAAGATGGGTACATACATTTAAGCCCACATATTACACATCTAAATAGGTGTATAAATATATTAATCTATTTGTAATTACACCTAATGGATAGAGATGCAAATGTATTTACACTGGTTTTATATATAAGACATAACTGCAATCTATGCACATATATATTTAATCTATGGCTTAATCCTGTTAAAATTGGTAGAGCCTGTAGCAGTGTGGTAGTAAAGAGTGGTTTGGCTATACGTTCACTCACTATCGCCCACCAACCAACATAATATGCCAGAAATATTTTATCAAAATATCTGTTAACAGCACAACGCAAAAAGTGAATCCAAGCCTTTCACAAGAGCATCAGTGCAAAGCAAAATTAAACATCCTCAGTGTGAATTTGAATTTGGCTTGCAGATTTCATTTTCAATAGCTGTGATACTGCTTTGTAGTGACACTATGACCTATATATGCATCTCTATACACGTGTGCATACATACAAGTGTTTGAATTTTATATATATATATATATATATATATATATACACATACATACACAATTATATATTTATCTAAATATATGTGAAGGTGAACCGAGGCATATATGTACACAAGTTCCTGTGCTGTAATGAGTGTGTTTATACTTTCATATAAATATATACATGTGAATGCATATTTTATACATATATATATATATATATAATGTACACATATTCAAATATATATGGATTAGCATACACGTGCTACATATAACATCAATCAGTGATGAATTATATATATATATACACACACACACACATACATAGATAGGCGCGCGCGCGCACGCACACATCAATCCACACAGTCGCATGATGTGGCAGAAAGACACAGAGAGAGAATAAGTAATAAATTTCAGATTATGCATTGGGAACAGTGATTTTTACCCTCCCCATTCACCATTATCTTCATCATCATTTTGCACCCAACACTATTTCTGCAGAGAGCAGAGGGTTAGTGGAAAAGGAAAATTTTAGGTGCTGATTCACAACAGGAACAGCAAAATAAACTCTTTTAAAAAAGCCATTTTTTCTTTTCTTCTGCTTGTTTAACTGCCAAATGCAAAAAACCTTTCAGGCACAATATTTCACAAAAAAAAAAAAAAAAAAAATTTTTTTTTTTTTTTTAAACTTTACATTAACCTGGTCCCTGTTTATTTTTTCATTTTCTTTTTTTTATTTGTTTCAAATTTCTTTTTTAATTTTTTGGAGGGAATCAAATTTAATGGAGGTCAAAGTAAAAAAAAAAAAAAAAAAAAAAAATAGGAAAGAAAAAAAAAACAGACAAAATAATAATGAAAAAGAATTCATTTTTTTTTTTTAAAAAGTCATTAAAAATGTAAACATTATATATATATATATATATATATATATATATATATATATACATACACACACACACTCACATAAACACATTATATAAATGTATATCACAGTATCAGGTGAAAATCTCTTGCAGTTCTGTATCAGACATTTCAAGATAACATGGTGTTATCTGGCCATTTGTGATGGAGGGAGAAATGTCATAAAGGTATTCCTCAAACTCCACGCCAACACTGCTCAGTATGGTGATCACCGCTTGCTTAAATGTGTAAAGGACAAGAACACACAAACAGATGCAATAATTATCCATAGCAAGGAAATATTCCGGTTGCATAATGGCTGCTTCCAGGAAAGAAAGTGCAGCCTCCTGAAACAGGGACAGCTCCATCAGCGCGTAACCAAGCAAAGAGTGAAGCAATGGATCTTGAAACAAATATGCTTCTTCCATTAATAAAATGATGTATTTCTCTGCTCTTGACGCCCGGTTCATTAGCCTGTTACATAAAATGAGAAGGTAGTAAGCAAGCGAAGAGGCAGGAAGAACAACTTCCTCTTGAGCATCAACTTCTTCCTGAAGTAACTCAGGTAGTGTCACTTTTTCCAGACCACCATACACGATATTAGGGAAGGGGGTTTGGATTTTGAGACAGTCCTCAAGGTATAAGATGGCATCATCATAGTTTCCCTGGCTGTAGAGAAAGTTTGCATATTTCACACACACACAGTGGTTCATCTCCATGGTAAGAGCATCCTGGAAGTACTGCTCGGCTCGCAGAATCATCTGCAATTCCTGATCGATGTCTTCGCAAATACAAGCCTTTACATAGCACATAGTTGCAAGGTTGCCTAGCGTTTCACACATTTCTGGTTCTAGTTTGCCATGGATTTCTTTAAAGATTTCAATGGACTCGTTGTAAGACTCTATGGCCTTGTCCACATCGCCCGCCATCGAATGCATCTGGCCAAGTTGTTTCAACGTGCTGACCAAGTCGCCCTTGATGTCCTCCTGCAAGATGTCTTGGATGTCCCTCGCCTGCTCGAGATAGTGCACTGCATTCTGATACTGTCTCATGCTGATGTGTGCGTCTGCTGATCGGCTAAGCAACTGGTTGTGCAAAGCCATGTCTTCAGAGCATTGATTTGGGTCAAAGTCCTCCTCACTGTCCTTTTCGTCAGCCAAACCAAGGGCTTCGTTGTAAAATTCCAATGAAGTCTTGTAATCATACTGGGCAAAGTAACAGTCGCCAAGTATTTGCAGGATTCTCATGTGCTGTCTCTTGTCAGCAGTGTCTGTCGACATCATCAGCGATCGTCCTAACGACAGATACTTGATCGCCTTGTGTTGTAAGTTTAGCACGTTGTAAGAGTTTCCGAGGACATATAGGGTTTGGCACACTAGCCAAAATTTATGTTTCGGTAGGGAGGACAGGCGGTTCTGGTAGAGGTTTGAGAAGATCTCAAATGCCTGGAAGCAAACAGAGACACATTTATGATAGTACTTCAATTTGTAGTAGGTGATGCCAAGCAGTGACAGGATGAGGCCTACGAAAAAGTTTTGAGAGGCCAAGCCGTAGACGTATCGGAGCATTCTGTAAGCAAGTTCAAACACTGAGACGGTACGTGGATACACATGCAACATGAAACTGGAGACTCCCAACATAAGAAGCACATGTGCATTGTCTAAAAACAGTGCCCTCCCAGCGGACTGCCCTTGGGAATTGAAGAGCGTCCAAGATTTCTCGAAGCAGATGAGGGCCTCGTTGAATTCCTTCATCATAAAATGGCAATCTCCAAGCTTCAAGTAGGCCTTGGCCAACACGTCAGTCTGCTTTTCGTCTCGTTGAGAGACCTCTTCCAATATACTGATTGCCTCTTCAAAACAGGAAACGGCTTCTTTAATGTTTTTGTCATCAATTTTTTCTTTCTCTTCTTCATCTTTGCTAAACTCTTTCTCAGTTTGGGAGTTCTGGCTTGAAGATGTTTCGTTGTCTGGATCAGAAAATTCTTTCTCAAATGACTCGGCAATGACAGAGATAACAATATCAAAGAAGGATTCATTGTTCCACTTTTCAACAATGTAGCCATTGCCAAGTTCAAACATGGCAATTGCGACATCATTGTCAACGTCACTGTCTCCAAGGTCTCGGCACATTTGAAGACCTTTCTTTAGCATTTTCACACCTACATCTCCTTTGCTGAGTTTACACTTGAGCATTCCCAGGTTCTTCATTGTGCTAGCTCGCAGCCGCATCACCGATGTGCTGGAATCCTGAATCTCAAAGAGAATTATGTAAATCTGCTCATATAAAGCTTCAGCTTTTGAGTAGTCTTCTTCCTTGGCTAGCCTCTCGGCAAGCTTGACAAGTGAACGGACAATGGTGAGACTTATGCTGTGTTCGTGTAGCGGAGAAATCAACTCCGGTTCCATTACCCTTGACTGAGAGTCATTGCTCAGCTCTGTGTCAATGATGAATGTCGTATCATCTTTCTCAGTTTCAGCTCTTGGTGACATTTGGATCACGCAATCAAACTTGTAGTTTTTACGCTCTTCAAGAAAAAAATCCCACCCTTCGACATCCACATCACTGGAGGCAAGTTCATATGAGAGAGAGTACTGACGCACAGGAGAGTTGACGTTGGATAATTCTTTGATATTTCCAATGTTCCGTACCTCTTCCACGTCAAGGTAAAAGACGTCTTCAAATTGCTTTTCATTATTGTTGTTTTCGCTACCTGGACTGTCAGGTGTTTCAAAGTTACTCATCTCTTCCTCCACCTTCTCCGAGAGTCTCTCCAGGATCTCTTTAAAATTCTTGTTTCGCAGTCTATCTCGGCAATAACGCCAAAACTTGGCCAGCCAACGTAAGCGTTCAGCAAAGTTGTCTTTGTTGGAAGATGTATCGGAGGACAGAAAACAGGGCATTCCTGGAAATGGATTCTGCCGGGGTACACTTGGTGTGAGGGGAAAATTCTTGCTTTGAATTGATGGCGTTGAAGCAAATAGAGGCCTTAAAGTCTCCATCATTTTCTCCTCATTTTTCAGCCAATTGTAAAGAATGCGACTCTGGTTGTCCTCCACAGGCTTCAGTTTGGTACTGATCATCTGTAGGTTTTGCTGAAACCAGGACACATCCGTCATCTCTGGATCTTCCTGAAGGGCTTTCTCGCAGATTTCGCTGGCATTCTGAAGCAAAGCTATGGCATGTGTACACAGCCATTGCTTCTCCATTGGGTTGTCACGACATCTTCGGCTGCGTCGAACACAGATTTCTGCCAGGTTCATTAGCACGCGTACCAAAGACTGTCGCTGGTCAATGGGGCTGCACAAGGCTTGCCTGTGCAACCGTAGGAACATGCGTTCCGACTCATCCAGTTGGTATTCATTGAGCAGCCGTGTGGCATTGTCAAATGTATCTGGAATCTGCGGCTTCTTCTGGATCTCATTCTGCTGGGCCTCCTCCAATACAGTTTTCTATCATAAAAAAATAAGAAAATAATAATCAATAATCAATGAAGACATATATTTTCCTGATACATTATTTTCTGTGATGTAATAATAATAAAAAAAAAAAAACAAAAAAAAAAAAAACAGTGAAACTAGAAAAACTTTTTCAATCAAATCTATAAAAAAAAAAAAAAGAAAAAAAAAGAAATTCAAGAAAAGATAGGGAAAAAGTGAAATTCTTTTTAGAAATAATTTTCTTTCTTTTCAAAAACAACTTTCTTGTTGAATTTACTTTAACCAATCCTTCTGCCACATTTGTTGTTATAAAATACAATGTATATTTATTCTATTTACTCTTCTTGTGTTGATGGTAGATTCAGAAATGGAAATGAAAGAACTATTACACAAGCTAGTTGAGGAAAGCAAGAAGAAAGGACTAAGACTTTAAGAAAATAAAAAAAAATTATCTTTTTGTTTTATCCTTGCTTTTTCCTATCACACATGATGACAGAGATGAGAGTGCAGTTTTACATTTCAGAAAGCCAAATTTTACACATTAGACTTCAAAATTTATTTAATAATTTCAATAAAGTGATCAAATGATAATGTAGCTTTTTGTCTTGAGATGACTTTGTGGTATTACCTTTCTGTAAGTTTTGCCACTTAATTCTTATTGAGGATTGTAGAATTCTTTGCAAGGGTTGTCCCAGAAACTAAAGTTAGATTAAGGGCTGAAGTATGAGGTATGTAAGCCTATCAAGCTGGAGCAACTTATCCAATGGGTGGATATTCCAGCAAGAAAAATTTTTCATTTTCCTTTTATTTTCTTGTTTTAATAACATTTATATATTGTTACACTTTTTCACTAAGTATTATGATGAAGCAAAAACAAAAATCTATACTGAAAACAGGGGAAAAACCAGAATTACCTAAAATGGAAAAAAGTGTCCCTTTATTTAAGTAACAAAGAAAATAGTGCTGAACAGCTATGTAATGTCTAACTTCTTGACAGTCAATGTTGAATGCTTTCCTTACAAATGAATAAATGACTTAAATCAACAGAGATGTGGTTTTATTGGGGAACATTGAGAATACAACAAAGAAACTGATAAAAACAAGCAGAAAAAGATTAAATGAAATTACATGGACACACGAGGAAATAAGAATTTAATATTTACAGGGAACATTGAAAGCAAAATAAAAACAAAAAGATGTGAGAAGCATAGAGAAATTTACCTGGCAAGTTTGAGTAAATGGACGGTTGAACAATTAACACAAAGAAAATGAAAAAGCAAACATTACTGAAAACAGTTAAAAAAAAAAAAAAAAAAAAAGAAGAGAGCTAAGATCATCCATATCTCGAAGGGCCAAGCCATATATATATATATATATATATATATATATGGTTTAAAAATGACAATTGGAAAAAATCTTAGTTCTTGTCAATGCGTTTCCTTTTATGACTTTATCAAGGCAAGCAATTCTGGGAAATATATATATATATATATATATATATATATATATAAAATAGAGCAGATAAGTTGGTCAATAAAATAAAGTCAAATGAGAGGGTACCGATGTAATCACCACAAAAACATTTATTAATATTAACCACGTGACAAAAATGAACAAGGGAGATTAAGGTTCCAAGTTTGGAATTTTCGAACACGCCTGTGTTCTTTATCAGCAGATGCGAGAAGTAAACAGAGGGACAGTGGAGACTATCCAACATTAGTTCTTGACACTGGGTAGATTCCTGCTTGTAGGTGGAATTTTTAGTAAAAAAAATCCGTTCCCCGTTTGATTTCTCCCTGTGCAAAACTTTAAAAATTGTGATTGGGGGTGAGTGGAAGGGGAGTGGCATTTTGAACATAGAGGAAAAAGGGTTATAGGACCAGGGGTGGGGACAGTACTAGGGCTGAGAGATTTGGTGGTTGGGATAAAGTGTGGGAACATAGCAAAAGAGGCAATAAAAAGAAAAAAAGAGAGAGGAAAGAAGTAGCACATAAAAATGGGATAAAGAATTCTTTTAGGAAAATCATTGTTAGAAAATGGGGGGGGGTTGCAGAAAAATAAGCTGAAATAAAAAAAATAAAGTACTAAAAATAAAGATAATGGTAATATGAAAAAGAGAATTGGTAAAATCATACAAAAATAGATGTGTTGTGTATCGAGATAAGATCAGAGTGTAAAAAGGCAATAAAAATAAAAGAAAAGAAAAAAAGAGGGAAGAAATAGCACAAGAAAAAGAAAAAAAAAAGGGATAAAGAATTCTTATGGAAAATCATTGTCAAAAAATGGGGCTGTGGAATAAATAAACTGAAAGTGTATAAAAGAATTAACAGGACAAAAGACATGGTCACTGACAGGAGGCGTAAAATCAAATGAGAGAACACTGATAATAGAGAAAGGAAAAATTCTTCAAAGAGGAAACAAATATGTCAGGGAACTCTTCCATAATGAAAGAAGGAAACCTGCAATAAGCAAAAATATAGAAGGTCCTGAAATATTTGCCTATATTAGTACCAACTTAGATGAACAAGAACAAAACAGTATGACCAGATGATATTGTAATAGAGATGTTAGCAGCCCTGGGAGACGACTTCCTCAGTGTAGGTTATTCAGTTTTGTACAACTGCTACATTACTTTCTGTTCATCAACTATAAACATCTCACCAAAAGATGAATTTTTGTTTCCAATGTTCATAATTTAATGTCCTACATGTCATTTGTTACTAAGTGGAATTAAAAGTGCATTAAAAAATGCCAGCTTCTCTTGGAAGATTTTGTCAGTGATGATAAAATAATACAATAGCTTATGAAATGCAATGAAATGTGTAATATGACCAAGTAGGAGAGGAATAAGCAGTGATTAAAGTAAGACTAAAGATGTTTATGGAAGAAAATGAAAACCACACTGCCTTGAACAATGTAACGTCAATAACATCATTGTTCAAGGAATCCCTACATGGAATAGGAAGCTTCAGCAGATAGAAATCCAAATCTTATCAGACAGTATTTCTATGTTCATAAGTTAATATTCTGTTTTAATTCTTATTCCTTAAACAACAATCAATCATCCTCATTATTTAGCGCATTAGGGAATTTCAATGCTGAACTCCCAAGAGTTGCCAACAAAACAGAAAACATATGTCAGGTGATCACTCAGAAGTTCATCTACATTTATAAAATACCAGATTAACAAGTCACCAAGTTATGGTCACATGTCTCAGTTTTGATGAATAGCTTAAATCTTATTTGGTGGTGAGGGTTATAAATTAAGTATCTGTTCCATGTACCTGCCTGCATCTTATATATTTTGCCATATCCTTTGTTTCTATAGAGAAGTTGCTAAATATGAATTTTCCACAGAAAAAAAAAATTCCTTAAGATAAAGTTAAAAAAAAAAAAACAGGCGTTTGAAGGATTTTTCAGATTGTACTTTCATTTAATTTTTGCTGTTGTAAATGCGGGTCCACAACTTAACATTTACAAAAGATTCAGATGTCTCTCATATTGCAGTGAAATTTTTAAATTATGCTTTAACATTGCCTATGAGTTATGACTTTCTTTATTTCATATTTGAGATTTGAGCTGTGAATTGAAGTGTGGTGGTGGTGGTGGTGGTGCTGGTTCTCAGGCAATAAAAAAAAAAACAAACAAAAAAAAACACTAATTCTGTAACTTACATCATTCCATCTGTATTCAATTTCCTGTGACTGAAAAGCTCTACATTCTTCAGATAAATGCATAAAGTATGACTTTTGTAATAATTTCACTATTTTGTTAAAACTAAATAAGCAAGTAAGCAGAAAGTGAATGAATATATTATCTATTTTTAAAGATATAAGAAACAGCTATAGGAGGAAAAACCTTGACAAGAAGAAATTCCTGATACACTCCTCATTAGTACTCTAGATTCATTGCCATCTTGCTAGAGATATTTAGATGAAACAAAAAAATTATTTGATTCATTTAGTTTGGATATTCTTAACTCTCTGTAAGAAGTAAACTGAATTGGCACCTCTGGTTTTAGATCCTCCTCCACCATCACACAAGTGTTTACTTTCCACTGTCCACCTGCTGAAAGAAGCCTATCTTATTACTGAAAATGTAAAACTGTCATCTGAATTGAAAATTAAAATTCAATTTAACTTTTAAAAGATTACTTTGATATTGTTTATATTTTCTACAAACAGAACATACCATAAAGAACATTATTTTGCATTAATTTGTTTACCGACATATAATTTCTTTACATGAGTGTATTCCTCTGGTGTGTTAACAATTACATGGGTCAGATAGCAGCAGACATGAATTGTTTTGAAAAAAGCAATCAAGAATCTTTTCTAGATCAGTAATCAATAACACATTTTTATTTGCATTGCCAAAAGCAGAAAACATCAGAAAAGAAAACCAAGTTAGATGAAGATAAAAATATTTGATAGTTGATTAAAAATCCCCAAAAGCCCATCAATATTCATTTTGTCCATGTCATCATTGGGAATTTCTAATATCTGCAAAATCATTGCATTGTATTTATTCTATGTACACAATTGAAATGACAGGCAAATGTGTACAGTTAGAGAAGAACAGTAATGAGTAAGACAAATAGATTAAAACATACTCTTGTCATATTGCTATAAAGAGCATAAATAATCAACATTGAAATTAGAAAGTTAATTGTCATTAAACATGTTCAAATAACAGCAAATTATCTACTTATATTTGATCTTGTATTTTGAGTTCTTGGCTTTCAGATACAGAATCCTTGAGATTTCAATAAAACTTATTAATGTATTGTATGAATAGCAATAGACTGAATAAGACAGGTTTACTCTTACCATCATTTTTGCTCAGATAACATAACCATTGTCAGATATGACAAATGGAGAACATTAATCATGCGACTTGATCATGATAAAAATTAAATGAAAAATATTCCTGTTAATTTCCAGAAGTTTACATATGTATTAACCATTAAAGACACTTTGTAGAGAAGTGATGGTTAACAAACTAATCTTTCAGATTATTATTGTAGTTATAAGATAATTTTTATTGTGTGCTCAGTACTTGTGGCCTTGTGCCTGACTACATAAGTTTCATATGAAAGGATATGCACTTTGTAGAAGTACTTATCAAGTTGGTTTTGCAAACCATTAGTATGACAATGAAAACAATACTCATTGGATGACCAATACTTGTGGCCTTGTACCATATCAAATTTATATTTGTGTATTAAAACAGAAATAAATTTGGATGCAAAACTTTCTCTGATCTGATCTGTGATCTGACATGGGTTAAATGAAAGATTCAAGATAAATGCGATTATCCAATAGGAATAAAGTTGTTAATTAACTCAGAAAATAAGAGAGTATTTTCAAGATGTACATATCTAGATACAAGTCAAATGTTGAAAAAAAAAAAAAAAATCTGACTGATATTTTAAACAATACTTAGAAAATAAGAACTTTCAGGAAAAATAAAAATTTCCTGATCAAGTTTAAGATGTCAAAATCAACCAACTTTTATTCAAAAATCAGAAACTCAACCAAAAAATAAGATAAAAACTGATTCTTATATCAATGAGATGTGTGTGGTGAGGAGAGTGTAAAAAGTAATGACCACAGAAAATGGAATTAACAAACTAAATATGAATTCTGGTTGAGAGTGATGACTTTGAGAAAGGCATAAGCATACTTCTACCTGTGCTTTATCTTATCAAATATCGTGACAAAATAACTTGTTACTGAGATGCTATGATGGCAAAAAAAGGGAGCAAACTAAATAGTTGCCTATGCAGTAGTAGATAAAAAATTGTTATCATCACTTACAACCTTGAGAGAGTTTTTTCATCAATCATTATGCAAAATTTATTCGATTCTTTCTTTTTTTAGTTTCATTTTATCTCAGAAATATTTTGTTTGTTTTTTTTTGTAATTTCATTTTGACATTATTAATGTAAGGGCATATAAACAAAAATAAATATGGCACATTTACAATTTGATATTAAAGAGCATGATCATTATTTTGATATTTTTTGATAATGTTATGATTTTATCTAAAAATAAATTTTGACATAGGCAGAAAAAAACGTGTGTGTGTGCGTGTGTGTGTGTGTAATAGTTATGCTGATTAGTACGGAGAATTTGCTGTGTGTGTGTGTGTGTATATATGTGTGTGTGTAACAATGAGAGTGAATGAAGTTTTTGATGTATGTTTCATAAATCCTACTACTAATATGGTCATATAAACGATAAGGTTTGAATATTCTGCAACCAGAAAATGCATGTTCTTTTATTTCAACACCTATTTCAGATTATACAGTGGGCTATAAGTTTTTAGCCACCCTTAATTACAGCAATTTTGGCTTGGGTAACAACGTCTCTTCTTTTTTTTTCAGACAATACCGTGTTAGTATCAAGCTACTCTAATCTATATCTATGAATGATAGTTGACTTATATTTTGCAATGAAAGTTTGCGGAAATAAGAAAATTGGTGAATTTCAATGAGTGCAAATAATAGGATGGCATCAGTGTGGCAAGTCAAATAGAGAAATTGTTAGGTTTTTCCAGGTTAATTATCAAACGGTTAATAATAATGTCAAGAAATTTAATGAAGAAGGCCATTGTTGTGTGGAACAACGTTCAGGAAGGCCAAGCATCGTGTCTGAGTGAACGAAAGGCGCTGAAGAGGGAAGTCATCAGAAACTGTAGTCAGAGAATCAAAGATGTCACCAACAGCATGGAAATGTCACCATATGTTAACCTCTGAAAGAATTAGGCTATCAAAGAAGAGTTGCAAGAAAGAAGAAGCCTTTGATTTCAGAGGTTAACAGGAACAGGTATATGCACTGGGCGAGAGAATTTGAGAGCAGAGATTATGAATTTTGGCAGTCTGTAATTTGGACAGTTGAAAGTAAATTCTGCCAGTATTTGAATTTCAAAATGAGATATTTTGATTAAGTAGGCCAATACATCTGGGTTTGTAAATGCAGAACGTCTTAAAAAAAATAACTGAGAATGTGCAGCATCCTTCAATGAGGTCATGTTTTCTGTTGATCACATTCTAGCTACCATCTAAAAGTACTGGAAACTATTTTTATTAAATCAAAACAACCTTCCTTGTGTAAACAGAAGGATTATTTATTAGAGACTTAATGTGATTGTTTATGAAAAAAATATATTGTCTCATTATTGAAATGTTTGTATTATCTTTACGTGTTCCCTTTTAGTTGATGTACACAGTAATTTACCTTAATCGAGCTCTGACAAGTGAGGTGCAATAACGGGTTAATTCTTTTTTGTGCTTCTATTTTAATTTCCATTTATTGCAATTGTAGTTTTTCCATTTGACTTCTTTCTTTTTTAATCATGTCTGTTTTTATCACAGTAATACAATTTTGTTCTGCTAATAAGAATGAATGCAAGAGAAGACAAATGGAAATATTAAAAATTGACAGTTTTCCATTTCATTGAAGCAGACAAAAGCATGAGAGCGTTATCACCATCTCTATCTTCCCTTTCTTATTATGTCTGTTATCTTTTTTCCATTGAAACCAAACAGCACCACTGATATATCTTTTTCTTTTTTTGTATTTCCTCGTAATCAAAATGGCATGGTTCATTATTTATATAAGGTAATGTCAGAGCATAATGTATGTGCTAACTTACTAATGGAGGAACACAAACACAGAGTTTTAATATGACAGTAATAATTGCAGCAAATCTTTACACTCCTCCCCTGGTCTTTTGAATACAAGTAGAGGTTTATCCCTTGTTTCCCGTTTTGGATTGGGTTACTGGTTCTTTCTATTTTCATCCCTTTTTACATCCAGCAGTCCCTTGTGTCTTAGTGACATTATTGGCTTGCTTGGAGTGAAGTAATTCAAAGAAAAAAAAAAAAAGAAGCTCTGAAATGTTAAGAGAAAAAATATTGGTGATCTTGGCTCAAGGAGCAGATGTCAAGTTGATTTAAACTGAAGACTTGTGAGCTAATCTTTTATTGGTAAAAAAAAAAAAGAAGTCTTATTCCTTCACAGATCATACAAATTACCTTTCTTGTCAAACTGAGGCACTGTTTACTTGCTTGTTATTTCTAATAAACAATGTCACCAGAATTCAATTTTCAATCTGCTGTGTAATACACAAACTTCAAATGATAATGACTTACGTTAGCATTGTGTACATCGTCAGCTGATTTGGTCGACTTGGTCTGCTCGTTGGTGGCTTGCCTCATCTGGGTGAGCTGCTGAACCAAATGATTGGTCAGCAGATCTTGCAGCTTCTCCCTCGTAATTTGACCGCTGCCTCCCAGGTCAGCCTGATGCTGCCGAATGAAGTCCACCAGAGAGGGGCTTTTATATACATTGTTGTTGTTGTTGCTCGCGGCAGCGCTATATATTAAAGGATCTGTAGAAAAAAAAGAAAAAAAAAGAAAATCATTTTAGTTGCATTACAATTTATAATCATTAATCATCTTTAACAACCAAAATTAGAACAATAATTTGAAATAAAAGTAGATTGACAAAAATTAAAATTGAAAAATATCAAAAGTGGTACGAACCCACCATGATAACCAAATATCAAAATCATTTGACATTTAATATAAAAGACCCCCAAATACATCACTGATGTCTTTGAGGGCATTGGTGTAGTGGATAAGGAAGTTGGTTAAACGTGTTACTGTCATCTAGTGGTCATGAAGTCAATTCCTGGATCAGGTAGTGAAACAGTATCTATTGGTTTAGCAAGAACAAACAGGCACTAGCTTTGCAGTGACCAAAAAACACATTCAACAACAAAAACAATGAACACCTGAAGATAGCCAGTAAAATGTAAATGCAGTGCGTCTATAATGACATCTATGACAGTCAAAATGAAAACAATAGGTTGAAATAATTAAAATAAAATGTGCAGTAAAATTAAGTACAATGTTTTCCAGAGACAAATATGCAATGCAATTGGCCCTGATCTAACATCTTGTCTGCAGGTTGCTCTCTCATAGATGTGCCGTCGCCTCTCTCTATCTTTTTTACAAATACTTTCATGGTAATTGCTCCAATGAGCTGCTTTCTCTGGTTCCCAGACTCCATGAATTCAAGTGTCCTACAAGGCTGGCATCCCACTCTCACCCTTTCACTGTTGAAACTGTTAAATGTAGCCATCTCTTTTACTCCAATAGCTTCATTTCTCGCACCTCTCAACTGTGGAACTCCCTTCCCTTTTCCCCGATAGCTATAATCTCCAACTATTCAAATGTAATGTCAATCGACATCTCCAGTTGCTGTGATCTATCCACTATCCTTCTCCTCATCCTTTCCTCTATCACTCCTATCTGCTCTCACTCCAAATCCTCTGTAACCCCTTGCGTGCTAGTGGCTTCCCGCCTTGCTTGGGGTGAAATGCTTAAAAAAAAAAATTTCTCAGCATTGAGGTCAGCCAGGCTTCAAAGGCCTCAATGTTGACTTGCAAAAATTTGAAAAACAAGAAAAAAAAAAAAGAAGAAATCATCAAACTAGATAAAATATAAAGAAGCAAACATTAACCTGTAAGACAGGGTACATTTTTTTAGAATTTAGGAAAATATTAACCTTTATAAAAACCAGTCAAAAATCATTTGGGCACTGGTTAAGTGTGTTCAAATTTTATTTAGATACAATTGAATTTTAAATAGTTTTAAAATACAAATTGTCTTTAATTTTTTCCCAAGATCATAATACATAGTTTAATGAATCAAATAAGAAAAACTTTTATTCAAACCTAGTTTTGATTAAAAAAACATTTTTATACAAACAATTATGACATTTTTATAACTATTTAGACAATTGTAAACTGTTTCATTTTTGCTTCATTACATTGCTGTCTAGAACAAAACAAAAATATCTAAATAAATTGCTTAAAACAAAACACTGACATTTTCCCATCCTATCAAATTTCTCATCATTTTGTCCAAATACAATGACCGATGAGTAATCGAGATTTTGTTGGTATTATTATTATTATTAATAATAATATTTCAACCAATTCATTCCCTTTCACCTTTGATCCTGCTCTATTCAATTTCACACCAGACTATCAAGGAAGCCAGGTGCAGAGTTGACCTGAAAGAAACACCTGTTAAGTGCACTTTGAGAAAAACCATTGGATAATTGGATATATGAACAATTACTGAAGTGATGGATTTGGACAGATGGAGAATGTATGGTCCATTAATTGGACAAGGGCTCTATGAGGCCGCATCACAAAGTGTCTGAGAGTAAGTGTGACACTATAGCTGTGATCAGGATACCCACATAGAAGAGGATATGGGAAATGATTTTATCTCATTCTTAAGGGTTTTGTGATTTCATGATCTGGTATAAAGTTTGTGAAATAGGATCCTCAAAAGCAGCCACCTACTTAACCAAAAGAGAATGAAATAAATAAAAAAAAACAAAAACTTCTGGGTACAAGTTATAACAAATCAGAAGTTACAAAATTCTCTTCACAGGCTCATGTCTACAGTCACAGTTGGAACTGAAAGTAGTTCTGGACTACCTGTTGGCAGAGATAGGCTGTCCTTCTGCGAAGTTCCAATTCTACTACTACGAGTTGCTAGCTTCACATTGCAATGTAGAAATGAATAAAGTGGTGGTAAAAGAGAGAATGAGGTTTCTCAATGGTTGAAGGAAAAAAGCTGATCTGTTAAATTGACATTGCTAAAGTTGCTCCAACCTAAACATCAAAATCATGTAAGTGAAATGAACTGAAATGAACAACTGAATAAATGGGAAAATCACAATGTACACTGACACAAATGAGAATGTGTAATTATGCATCTGGTTGGTGGAAAGTTGAGAGACAGGGCTATGTTGTATGTTTACACCTGACAATGGTAGGAGTTGAATAAAATACAATGTTAAATGTTAAAGATTCAAGTCTTGGGTTCTTTATTAGTCTGTATTTGTTATAATTTAATTGGCGCCTCATTACAATTCTTCAGATGTATAATCCATAAAAAGAGAAAATTCTCATTCTTTGCAGGAAAAAATGTTGGCAAAAAATTGAACCCTCATATACAAATTTTCTGGTGCAATTTTGTTCTATAAATCATTTTCGTCTTTTCTCATGGATTAAGAAGGCTGAAGAATGAAGTGGCAGAAATGTTAAGATAACATCAAAGACAAAAAAAGGAAATGAGTTATCCAAGCAAAATTTGCAATGTTAATAATTCTTCACAAAGTTAGACAATATTGAATCTTGGTTGAATAGCTCAAAATTCAGTCTAGCCACAGGCATGGCTCAATTTTATTTCATGATAATGTCATGATGTCCAAGGCCTGAAAAAAGTCTCTAGAATGAAAGTAAAACACTTGAGATTTTTAGCTTTGAGAGAATCAAGCAAATTTGCTAAATCAATCTCCAACTGATTATTTTTTTCCAAAATTAGGGGTGTGGTGTTCCAGATTTTAAAAATTCAATACTTATTGAGCTATTATTATTATTATAGCATTCAAAGAATTTTTTGCATCTAAATTCAACAATTTTATATTTTCATGATAAAAACCAATGACGAGCCATAAAATAAAAAAAAGCAGATTTTGATACAAATATTATGAGACCTGTTCATCCACATGTCAAACTGAAATTTTCCAAATTGCCATATATATATATATATATATATATATATTTTAGTTAGTTAGTTAGTTTTAAGGTATGCTTTGTTTATGGGTTAAAGTGCTCAATATCGGGGATAGAGCATATGTAAATATAAAAGCGGACATTGAAGTCAACATCAAGAGGTGACAGTTGGGCCTGATGATTAAATTTAGAATGAAACAGACTGTTATCTCTGAGTGTTGACTTCAATGTCCACACACACACACACATATATATATATGATTAATACAAATATGAAATTTGTCACTTGATGATTTTACACACACAACAACGTCATATAAATCTTCCCTGCACTCTTATCTGCCTAAGTTTTGCTGCTGATGTTGTTTCATTTCATTTGTTTTGCTATTGTTTCTCAATGTCTAATAACAAATGACATTTTATACAATTATCTTTAACTTATAAAGACAAACAATATTATCTGACAAGATTTGTTGTAATTATCTTAAAGCTGTCAAAACAAAGAAAATAAAGAAATGTGTTGTTTGAATTCTATTCGAAAAATATTGAAAAGAAAAAATTCCTGGATTAAGGCAAGCAGTTTAATTAGACACTAAGTTAATGCTAGGTGTTCACTGATAAGAATTCTCTGGTGAAATGTTGGGCCAATTGGTTTTACTCACCTGGCCAAAAGAAAAGGATGTAAAAAACAATATTAAACAGTGTGAAGAACAGAAGAGAAGTTCTGGTCATTTTTAGTTCTACTATTCACAGATAACACAGACTGGGAAATGTAGACAAAGAGCTACTGAGTGTTTTTTGTTGATTCCACTCAGTACAAAATGGAAAAGCCTATGATTGACTTAAAGACAGAGAAAGAATGTTGGCAGCAAGCCAACAAATCAAAGACATGTTGGTTATTTTATAAAAGAATAGAGAGAGGCAAAGAAGAAGTAAAGAGTAGTTGAGAGAAAAAGATATTAAGTACAGTTAATAGAAAGAATGAAGTCAGAAGGAAGAGAAAGACAGAAAAAAGAAGAAGAAAGAGAAAAGAGAATAACCAAAATGTACAGGAGAGAGAGAGAGAGGAGACAAGAAAGATTACATAAGTAAAAGAAGGATTAAGAGTTTGAAAAATGAAAAAAAAAAGTGAGGAGAAAGTAAAAAGAGAGACAATGAAAGCAAAGATCAGTAAATAGGAGGTGAAGATAGAGGATTGGAGAATGAAAGTAAGAAATGAAAAGAGAAAGTGGTGAGAGGAAGAGATTAAGAATCAGAAGGAGCAGAAAGGAAGAAAAAAAGAATGAGGAGCAGTTTATAAAATGAAGAGAAAGAAATGAAAAAAAGAGAATAGAGGATATCAAGAAAGAATGGATATATGAGAGAGAGAGAGAGTGATAAAAAGAACAAAAAAAATATAAAAACAGATTAAAGTAAGAGTTCTCTGGTGAAAGCAAAATAGAAAGAACAATCAACACATGGAACAAAATTACTTAGAAGCATCCAATGTTTAGAGAATATGGTGCATTCAAGGTGAGGTGTTGAAAGTACTCAGTTTTCAAAATTTTGACCAAATATCAGGATTTTTCTTAAAGGCTTCTTGGTTGGGACAACCTCTTTATACACACTCAAGGTGGGCAATGAAAACTTGAATGAAATGAAACTAAATTTCCGACCAACTACGACAGAAAATAATGTGAAACCAATTGCAGAAGAAAGAATCTCCTGTTGGCTATTAATACACACTAATTTTTCAATAATATCAGGAAAAATGACATCACAGAAAGACAAACACCAAAGTATTTTAGACTTGCTTCATGACCAAATCAACTCTAAGAGCATTCTCTCACAGTTGGTATGTCGTTGCACACTTGCACTAAAATATCAAAAAGGCCACAAGTATAGACAATGGCATCCAGAGCAATAGGCAATGGTGGGGTCAAAAAGAATTGGAATTGGGGGTTTATCAATGCCTTCAAAATAAAATTGTAAAGGATACAGCAAAACCCATGCATAAGATAGTTACTAATTTAAACTTTGATCCAAGACCATAAATGATGACCTTGGTCTTAAATTTTACTCAAGGATGCCAAAAGACCTTCTCACAGAGTCCATTAATGGCAAGATGTTGGGTAAATGAAAGAAAGTTCTCAGCTAACTCAAAATTATAAAAATATTCTCTGATAAGAAAATCTTAACATTGGATGCTGTTTTGAATTGATAATTGATATCAAAAACACTTTCACAACCAAAAATCTTGATTCAGTTCTAATCTTGGGTGTTATGGTCTCTGTGTATTGATGTTTACTATAAGGTTCTGAAATATGATGTTTTGCCATGGCTCAAGGCCAACTAGCCAGAGTGCAACTATGTGTTGATTCAGGATAATGCTCCTAGCCAAGAGGTTCTGCATAGCTAACTTTGTTGAACCAGTGAGCATTTGGCTCTACTCCAGCCCTGACCTGAACTTGCCCTTTCAGAGCAAAACACCAAGAGCACCCACTCCAGCATCAATATTCTCAAGGTTATCATCAAGGAGGAATGGGCCAAGATGTTCAAAGACGTTAAGGTTAAGAGTTGAACAACTTTTTGAGATCATATTGAATAAATTGTTTTGATATCACGAGTTTTATTATTATCCTTTTGCATTAATAGGCCTGTTTATGAATAAGGAAGTTTTGAAAGTTGCAACAATTTTGTAAGGTTTGCCTCCCCCTCCTTGGTGACTTTCTTTCTCTCTCTCTCTCTCTCTATATATATATATATATATGAGTGGAATCTCAGTTCTTGAACATCTCACAAGTCAAACAAATTGGTTTTTGAACAGAAAATTTGAGATGAAAATGTCTCAGTTATCAAACAAAATTTTGGTTCTCAAACAATATAGCCAAACCGAGTTAACATGAATGGAACAATTTCTGAGCCAACTGTCGTGTTGTATACATTTGTGTGTTTTGCTGTGCTTTTCTTTTCCAATTTTATTGTACTGTGACTTTTTTTTTCTACATCTATTCCTATTGGAAAAATAGTTTCAGTTTATTAACATTTCGAATTATGAACAGATGAGGAAAACAGATACAGCAATGGTAAGGAATGGAAGAAGGAGATGCAGAAAGAGAAAAGTCAAAATAGAGAAAAGGAAAAAAAGAAAAAGAAAAAAAAAAGCCTTTAATTAACAAGAAAGAAAACAAAAAGTTTATGAATGAAAGAGATTATTCTGCAACCTCCCCATTTTGGCCATCTTAATAAACACTTTCGTAATAATTACCAAACAATACAGAAGAAAAGATACAATTCTTTGTGGGGTTAGAAATTACAAGGCAAAGAACAACAAATGCATTAGTAATTGTTTACAGTAGCAGTAGAAAGCAAAATCCTTCAAAACTATTTGGAAATTAAAACATTTTCTTGAATTAATGATGACTTGCAAAACACCAGGGAATGCTATACTCTATATTTCTTTTAATGTCATATTCCGCCAGGATGTATGAAGTTATGGCTCTCCACAGCTTCCTTTTATACAAATTGTATTTGCCATGATACTTGAGAAAGATAAATAAGTGGCTTCATGTTGCCTTCTTGACAATTTCTCTTCTTGTAGAAGACTAGTAACACGAGAGAACCCAGTCTGCCCTACACATAGCTGAAGAGAGATAGATGGATTCAAGCCTTTCCCAAGAGTATCAAGTGCAAAGTGAACACAACAAATTCGGATGGAATTTGAACTTGGCTTGCTGATTTTAGTTTACAAGATGATAACCTCCATTACACATAACTAATAATATTCTTTAGAAACAGTTTAAAAAAATCAAACATTGTTCATCTAAAATGTAACATTCAAAACTTAATTTCTATTGTTCACTGAAATTGTGGTCTTTGTGTTTTTGTGATATTGAAAATTCCATGTTATTTAAATACTTTTAAAATTATGTAAAATACAGTTAAGAATTTATAAGTTGGTTGCTATAACTGTTTCGATTTTAAACTGTATTAATAATACATACATTTCATATACTGGAGCAAATAAACTTCATACCTCACATGCACTAGTCAAATTCTTTATCCCCGGTTAAGGTTAATTCAGTGTATTTAGTTATTTGGGCACTTTCAAAGATTTAACTCCTGAAGTTTATCATGAGTCTTTTTATGTTGAATATTTCATTGTCAGGTTGCATTAGTACAAATAATACAAACATATTTCAACAATGGTTTGCTGTAGCTGACAGCCAGTTTACCTTCTCCAACATGAATTTTTGGTAATGCATCTCATCTATTCAACAAGAAACTTGAATCCTGGACTTTGTAGAAGTTTCTATCACTGAATCCAAAAAGAACACTTTGAGAATATTTCTTAGGTTATTTGTTTCTGTGGATTTGTTTGAGTGGGTGTTTAATCCTGAAAAGTGTTTCCTTTGTAACTCGTGATATTTTTTGACATTTTAACATAACAGGAAATAAATACCAGAAAAGGGCACTGACCAAAAGTTAAGGTTTACAGTGAAAATGAATTTTAACCCACATAACCTAACAGTGAAGAGTGAAGAATTTTTATGTAAATGACAGTAGGTATGGATGGAAAGTAATGGAAGATCCAGATGTCTAAAAATTTTCCTAAAGCCATCTAATGATAAAAACAAAATGAACAGTTCTATACAATATATAACACTGATCACTATATAATTGTTTCAAGTATACAGGGTGATTGAAAAGTAACACCCTATTTTCTGTATGATGGACTCTCCAGTCTAACTATAATTTTTACAAGATGGGAAAGTCCATCATACATAAAATAGGGAGTTACTTTTCAATCACCTTGTATGTACACACATTTTTTTTCATCATTACAATCCTACATTTATGAATACAAACTAACTATAAACAAAAATTCTAAGCTGACATCTTTTTTGAATTTATAAACAAAGAATTGTATGCAGCCAAGCCCATTATATCAACAATGGACAACATTCTGATTGACCTGGATGTAAAATAAATTGTGCAAGTCAGTGTATCAGCACAAGTGACTCTGAAAAACTCTAACAGGCAGAAAATAGAATTCTGTAAAGTTAACGATTCAGCTTAAAGCACCACTCCTCATAACAAGCCCAAAAGAAGTGGTTTCAAATATGTAATTCTATTTTGCGTTCTTTGCTGTAAATTGCTTGTGAGAAATGCAGAGTGACCATAGCAATGTTTGAATGACTCATTTGTTTTTAGAGAAAAATAAAAAGGAAGACTGCACCCCGAAATAATTTCCATTTTTTTTCTAATACTGAAACAACCATATTTTGTAAGACCTAATTTTTGGTGGATCCCTTAAGATTTTAATAAAATGTAGCAAAATATCTTTGAAAATAGGACTTCTAAACTAGCAAAGATTTTTTTTTTTTTTTAACAAAAACAAAATTATATTTACTGATGGGCTTATATTAGAAAAGATGTCTTAGTATGACCTGTTTGGAGAATTAAAGGTAACAAATGCTAAGAGTTCAACATTTGATAAATGCAAATAGTTTTTGCTTCAGATTTTTTTTAAATTGGCCAACAAACTGGAGTTAAATTTATTTTTGTAGCATAATTATGATAGATTCTACTAAGTCTATTTACTTATATACAGTAATTTATTGGCAATAGAAAAAAAAAGAAGTTTTTAGTAAAAAGAAAATAAAAGCGTTCTTAAGTTATACTGCAATCAACATGCAAACAACTCAAGTTATTCGACTAATAATGACCATTATATTGAAAAGAACAGTTAT